TTACTTCTCTAGGATTCACAAACTGCTTAAAATTATGACATATTTTAGCTTGCTTCATGTTTGGACCAAGTTGTCTTGGTCCTAGAATTCCTCTTTCCTTACTAGGGAAAAAAAAACATGCCTTTTTCAAGATTTTCCTAGTATCTTCCAGTTTCTTAATTATCCTAACCAATGCTTCGAATTCATTCTGTTCTTGGAGCTACAGAATAAATTTAAAAAAAAAAACAACAGCCTTGCAAAGACTTACTTGTTCCTGGTTATCCCTTTCAGAAAGTATAACTTTTCCCCGTTCTTTCATGAAAATTTTTCCCCTTTTGTAGTAAAAATTAACTATGATTTTTAAGAGAAATGTCACCCATTATCTAATCAATATAACACACCCATTTTTATGTCTGCATACTACTTGTAGTCCTTATCCACTGTAAATAAATTTAACACAATCATAGTTCACGATGATCTCCTTTTATGGCTGTGTAACACTGTACTGAGTGGATACATCATAATTTATTAAACCCACTTGGGAAGCTGTACAAAGAAGTGGTTAAAGTATAGGCACTAAGTCAGACAGACCTGCAGCAAGTCTCCCTCTGCCAATCCCCAAGACCATACAGCCAACAAGTTACCTGACTCTCTTTAATTCAACTAGCACTAATTCCTCACTCAGTGCCACCCTACTATTTTCCAGGTACCACATTACTGGATATACAAGAGAAGACAAAAGAGACCGGACAGTTTCTGCCCTCAGCAACAAAGAATAAAGATATATGATTTCCAATCATGTTAAATTCCATAAAGGAAAAAGGCACTAAATGAGAGACTGGACTGCTTCAAATTCCCCAACCACAGTGAGCTCAATTCAATTAATAGTACCATCCAGGGCTGTTATGAGGATTAAGTGTAATCCATGTAAAATACTTAGCACCATTCTTGGTACACAATGTGTTAATTACATTATTGCCTGGGATAAAGTGAGAGCACCAAAGCAAGAATTACTATTCTCTTGTACTTTCCTTTTCTTTTTTGTATCAGACTAAATCCTATATTTTTCAGGGCTGAGTTCACTGCCAGAAGTTTGATGTTTTCTGTCCTCAGAGTCAGGTTTCCTAATTTTCTCTTACCTCTGTGAACATGCTGAGTATATTCATAGCAACTGTTTTGTTGTTGTTGTTTTTGAGATAAGTCTCACTCTGGCCCAGGCTGTAGTGCAGTAGCACAATCATGGCTCGCTGCAACCTCCACCTCCCAGGTTCAAGCAATTCTCCTGCCTCAGCCTCCCAAGTAGCAAGAATAACAGGCACCCATAACCATGCCCAGCAAATTTTTGTGTTTTTGGTAGAGACAATGTTTCACCATGTTGGCCAGGCTGGTCTCAAACTCATGACCTCAAATGATCTGCTGGCCTCAGCCTCCCAAAGTGCTAGGATTACAGACATGATGAGCCACTCCACCGGGCCCATAGTAGCTGTTTTAACATCTGCCACCTGCAATTCTGTCATTTATGTCATTTCTGGGTCTTTTTCTAGCTATGTTGTTTGTCTAGTTATGGGTCTCATTTTTCTCCTTCTTGGCATGCCTAGTATTGGATTGGATACTGGCTTTGAATTTTATGCTTCTGGGAGCTGTATTTTGATGTATTCCTTCAACTATCATTGGGCATTGTTCTGAGTCCTGTTATTTGGAATCAGATCCTTTTAAGGTTTGTTTCTAAGTCTTGTTAGGGGGTGTCCAGAACAGCCTTTTTTCTAGGGCTAATTTGGCCTCAGTCCATGCTCTGTACAGTAGGAAGTCCTTCTATCCTGGATTAGTGAAAATATTAGCCATTCCCACCTCATGTGAACCGCAAGAATTGTTTCCGCCTGCTAATTTCTGGCAGTTCTTCCTGGTCTTGGTAGTTCCTTTGTGAAATCTGCAGATCAGTGTTAAAGAAAAGCCTTGAGGGGGCCCCTCTATAGCAATCTAGAGCAGATCTCTGCACCACTCCCTCCTCCAGCATCTCATAAGTAGCTACAGCCTCCATGACCTCTGAACCCTGTCTCATCAACACAGGAAGACCACCAGACTCTATCTGGGGGTTCCCCCTCCCTGCACTACAGCCTGGGAACTCTCTCCAGGCAATAAGGGGCAGTAATAGGGCTTTCCTTTTTTATTTCCCTTTTCTCAAGGATCATTGTCCTGTACTGCTTATTGATCTATTTCTAAAACTATTTCAGGCCGGGCATGGGAGCTCACGCCTGTAATCCCAGCACTTTGGGAGGCCAAAGTGGGCGGGTCACAAGGTCAGGAGTTAGAGAGCAGGCTGACATAGTCAAACACTGTCTCTACTAAAAATACAAAAATAAAAAAATTAGCCGGGTGTGGTGGTAGGCTCCTGTAATCCCAGCTACTCAGAAGGCTGAGGCCGGAGAATCATTTGAACCCTGGAGGCAGAGGTTGCAGTAAGTTATGAGGGCGCCACGTACTCTAGCCTGGGTGACAGATCGAGACTCCATCTCAAAAACAAAAAAAACAACAAAAAACACTGCTATTTCATAAATAACTTCGTCAGGTTTTCCAGTCAGTTAAGGTGGGAAGGTAAACCAGTGCCTGTTACTCTGCTATGGTTAGAAGCAGAAGCTCGCAAGTTTGAGTTCAAGTTAGACATTTTCAAGGAAACCTTTCTAAACTACGAGTCCAAATAATTTTTAGTTTCTCTGGTGTTCAAGTCATTTACGATCTAGCACAACAGCAGAAGCAATATAGTATAGCACAGCATAGCATAGCATAGCATAGCGTCCATCATTACCATCACCACTGCCCACCTTCCACTGCCATCAGTCTCATTAGCATACCAAGTCCCACAGGATCACATGCAATCACACATGCCAGTAGCCTGCTAGGGTCAGGCACGGTCCTAGATGCTTGGCTAAAACAGATATTAATACCTAACTTCCAGGAACTTGAAGTTTAGGACAACTTAGGAATGAAATCCTCATCCATGGCATAGTCCTTAAGGGGAAAAACTAATGCATTTAGAACACAGTTCATCAAACTTTTTCTTAAAGGGTCAGAGAGTAAATATTTTAGGCCATGTACACTCTTGTCACAACCACTTACCTCTGCTGGGGCAGCACGAAGGCAGCTGCAAACGACATGTTAGCAAGTGGACATGGCAGTGTTCAATAAAACTGTTTACAGTAACAGCACGCAGACCCCTGCTTTAGAACTAAATCTATCTGCAAGTTGAAGACTGCCTACAGTCTTTCACAGTGGCACATCCTAGGTGTACCATCCAGACGAGGCTGATTTCTTCAACAAGACATCTGCATTCTCTTGGGCAGGAACTATGTAAGATATGGGTCTTTTGCATGTATCACAAGACTTGCGCAACACATAGATTAAGCGCTTATTAAATGCACATATTTCATTTGATGTT